ATTTAGGTATCAAAATAATACAAATATTGAAGATGAGAAAAAAGAGATTGATTTCTAATCTACTAGAAAATATGGATTTAAAATTAATATATTTTACAAGTATGAAATTCGCGCGCTTGAGTCGGATTAAAAGTCAGCTCGGCGCCGAGTACTTCTTTCGCTTTTCTTCTTTCCAATTAAGTAGCTCGTTTAATAAAACGTTTTGATTGGCCTAGTCGCCGGACTTCGCGCCTCGCGATCATTACTCGCAAAGTTCGTGCCAGGTAGCCGATGACTCGACGATATAACAAAATACAGTATCCTGCGTAGACGGTTCGACTATCTCGAGAACAAACACAATTATTTCAATAAATATATCCCGTGAGAGTGAAAACGCCCCTAATGTAGGATTCTCGTTTTCTTGAAGCCCATTCAGAGTGGATTAAATAATGATTCCTTACGTTCAGCCACGTAGCACGACAGATTACGTTGTGAAATGCTATCTGGACGTTTATTAGCGGCGACTATACGTACCTAACGTAGGCCGAGACCCACAACTGTAACTATACCTGCATTCCGTGACTGGTTCTAATTCAGAAATTGCTGGTTTCTTAACAGTCGTGATGGCGCGATCAGACTATCAGACCCATTTTGATTTTATCGCACGGCCTGGGATACATCAAGTCCCTCATCTACGTTATAATACAAATACCATTTTCTATTTGAGAAATAACAGGGGAAAATTAACATGAAAATAATTTTTCAACAAATAGTAATTTCGACTACTTGTTTCACTTTTAAATCTTTCTCTCTTTTAAAAATCATTTTCTGTAATTTTGATGTTTCGAATTACATCTTCAAAATTTTTCAGCTCGTCACCGCTCAAATCTTTTAACTTCTACGGGCTAGTCGAATCTCGTTTATCGAAATTCACTTGCGCAGCCAGAAACCAGCTGACGGCAGCGTCTCTTCGAGCTGCTACGGTGGACAAATATTGCGGAATCCTGCGTCCAAGTGTGGTTAGGTATATATCCACTTCTACATTTTTCTCTCCTTCCTCTCTCCCCCGTCCACGAGATCATCCCCCGTCGCCGCCCTTCCGTTCTCCCCGGGTGTTGTACGATTGCCGAGTCATCATGTAATGACGTGCCGGCTGTCAGATCTCGCGAGAGGCAAGGCGGCACGATTCGAGCCACGAAACGATCGGCATCGCCGCGCCGCCGGCCCGAAGAAGACGAAGAAAAGGATCGGACGGGGGCCGCGGATGTACGCGAGCGAGACGGAGATCCGGAGAAGGTGGACGTGAGTGAGACAACGTGATCGAGAGGAGGCGAGCCTCCTAAGGACTCAATATCTCGGACGTCATCTCCGAGGCGAACCGGACGCATCGGACGCAGCTTCTCGGAATTCTCGCGAGGACCTCGCGTTTCGAGGCCGCAGAAGATCGATACAGTTACGGGCGAAAGAAGAAGTCTTGCTCTCCTGGCTTTGATTGCGCTCGATTAGCTATTTCGGTTTCCAACTTTCAATTTTACCTCGCTTTTTTCACACACATTTCGCATATTTACTTGTACTATTTGAAGACATCCCGGAAGGTCCTTGGACTTGGAATAAGTTATACCTGTAATCTTACGTACGTGTTCCCAGTCTATAAATCTACTTCCCTTTGTATCCCTTTAGCTCGTGCGGTGCACGCGTTACAAGGATATAAGATTTTCTTCTGATTTCTTATTTCGGCCGGCGATGTTCTCAACCGACGTCCATCGGACCGTCTAAACACCTTAAATCGTTTTTTGCCACGCGGAGCGTTTCTAATTTAATCGGAGGCGTGTCCGAAGATCGGATTGTGGTATTTATGTCTACGAACGTATTGTACGCACGTCATCGCCATTACGAGTGATCGTTTCCAGAGGTCCCCCGGAGTACGTTTGGACTGTCAGATACGTCAATAAAATTAGAATAGGATTATGTGCTTCCAAGAGTGCTGCAAGCAGTATGTGTATGAAAGAGTTATTTATTTTCTTTTAGTCTCTACATCATAATTTACTTTGTTTTTCTTCAATCAACCTGTTTAACCGCTTCTTTGAACGCACATTTGTCATATTATTTCGATTCGATGACTAAAATTTAATTCCAATGACTGAGAAAGGGACGTATTAATGTAATTAAACGTTTCTGAACTTAAGTGCTTTTTAATCGTCCACTCCAGAATTATAACCCTAACGATATACAACGTCGAGATTTGTATAGGCGCAATCCAACACAAAGTGAGTCGCTCGCTCCGATGGCACGTACTTTTCTCGTGCCGATCGCTCACGAGAGGATGTCATACGAACTCTCGAAAGCGAGCCCGGGGACGAGGAAGGAAGAGAGAAAGAAAGAAAGGGGGGGATATAGAGACGAGCGGGTCGCGTCCGAGGAGTCACGATAATTCGTGTGATCAAAGCGACCGACTCGGTGGTGTCTCCCGCGCTGGCATCTCTTCTCACCTTTAATAAAGCTATCTCGCATCTCTAATATCTCCTCGCGCCAACGCGCGAGAGGTAGACAAAGACGGATGAGGAACGTCGGGATGGTAGTGGTGGTGGAGGAGGTGGAGGAGGAGGAGGAGGAGGAGGAAGAGGCGATGGCGGAGGAGAAGGAGGATTCCGGACGGGACGGGGGAGAGAGAGAGAGAGAGCGGATCTCGAAGCTCTTTGCTCACTGCCCCGACACCTTTCTACAACGAGGCCTTGTTCGCCAGGAGAAAAGACACGTCAGCCGACACCACGTACACACCTCGTCTCTTCGGGGCCATCGATACGCCGGGATCCTACTCTCCTTCTCTATCTCCGTCAATCTCTCTCTCTCTCTCTCTCTCCTTCCATCACACGCTTTTTACATCGTAGCCCACCTCTGGTACCGTGCTCTCGCTCTCTCTCTTCTTCTCTCGCCTTTTCCACCTCTCTCCGCGGCCATCTCTCGGGGAGATACCAGCATACCGCTAGGCGCGAGAGATTCACGAAGATATTACACTTACCATCTCTCGCAGCCACGCGGCGATGCTTATCGGCGACCGCCGTCAATTAAGCAATTATCGCCACCTCCGCCGATAGGCTCCGCGCGTATGCTGGGTCATGCCGCCGCGCTGTTCCGCTCGTTTCACGGGGATACGCTTACACGCGCAAGGACGTAAACGTTAATGAACGACTCGGTGTTAATAGGAACGTTGTTTTCCTATCGGTCTCCGTCGTTTAATCAAAGCGCGAGGCATTACACGGCGTTAACGCGCGGAACGACGATCCACGACATAGGGGTGGTCGCCGCATTCCGAGACTCGAAAGCGGCTGGAAAGTCGAATCAATCGGCGTGAACGATGATAGCGGGGAATGCGATCCTCGCGGCGAGGCTGAACGCGAATCCTTGATGAACCATAATGACGCTGGACGTCGGAGACTTGCTTGCTTGCTTGCTATCTTCGCGGTCTAGGAAGATTCTTATCGACGTCCGGTGTCAATTGAGCGATTAGGCGACTATCATACTGAATGCTGGGAGTCACAGAAAGAGCCTTTGATACTGCAACGTGCTTGCAAAATACTTGCCATCCGATATAGCTGATTTAGATTGGGTATTAATATTTATTTTATTAAATATGGCAATGAATCTTGAGAATTATTGTTCGCAATAGTGCGCATAATTTCATCGATAACAATGTATATATGATATATTTAATCCGAATATATTTAACCGATGTAATAATTAAACCAAATTTTATGACACAATTATTCGATATCGCAACGCGCTGTTTTTCAATAGCGCAACGGCGCAGAATGGCGCGAAGGGTATTAAATTATTTTATACGATTCTATATGTTTATGCCCTCTTCCTCATGGCATATTCAATTTCTGATAACACCGCACCTTCTCGACTGCGAGGAAAATCGTTTCATATCATCGCGAGATAGCTTCGCCTTGCACACCGCGCGCGTTCCCTTCTCTTTCTCTTTTCTCCATGCATTCTTCCGTCTTTCTCTCTACCTTACCTGCCACTGCAGGCGGCCGCACCAGACCCATATACATGTAAACGAATTCCAGACATAAATTTACCGACTTCCGCTCCGCATTCAGTAGCGGGGAACGCGTCTCGGGGGCATCGATATATTGGGACGATACTTCCGGCAATTCTCGAAACTCCTCTCTATGATAAAGTCATCTGACTGGGGTGTGATAAATATCATTCTGCCGCGCGGTGGTCTCCTTCCTTTGCTTATCGCTATATCGAATTTAAATATCGCCATCACCTACGCGACCCGATTTTTCGGAAAAACACCATGATATTTCCACAATAATGAAAAAACTTACCTAATTCATAATTTGTAATTTTAAATTGCTTGAACGCAAAATCAATGTAACTAAAAAAAATTTCCTTCCTATTTTCTTAATTTTGGGACACGGTGTTAAACCTATTTTGTTAAGTTGGACTACGCGCCATGGGGCACTTTGGGATAAAATATTTCGTCCACAAGCCAGGTATTCCAAAAATAAACCCCGAGAAAATGCAATGACAAATCGCCAGCAATGAGATAGGGGATCAACGTTGAAGTTTCACGGAGGCATTCACGATAATTAATCGACAATAGAGCACTCTGGATTTCGTGGGTTCCTCCTGGGGTGCGTGAGGACCCCCACCGCGGTTCCGTCTTCTTCCGTTATTTATGTTCTAGGATCCGAGGAGACGGTGAGGTATCGCATCCCTCGTTTCTTCAAGGAAGACTATAAATTCGACGTTGCTACCGATTAATTGAACAATTATTCAAATATTTCTCGTCATTTTTTTACAACTATTAATTTAATTTTTCAAAAAAAAAGAGTACTTTCGGGAATAAAATATTATATAGAAAACGTCGCAAAAATTAAAATTATTCTGATATATTTTATATAATTATTTTAAAACTTAAAACTTAAATATTATATAATCGCTTATTCTTATCTTAAGTATATTTTTCATTCATTTTACAAAAGTATATTTTATTTTGTTGAAGAATATTTGCAAATTAGTAAAATTTGATAGAACTATACAATTAGCGTTTATATATGAGACGTAAATGTGATTTATGACGAAGGACATAGAGTTATTTGAATTCTCGTATTTCTAGAAACTTTCTCTTATTTATGCATACCGATCTACCAAAAAGAGAACAGCGCGCTTAAATGCTTTTAAGCGAGCGGCATGAATTATTTAAATGCCTGCACTTACTGCACAGATGCGATAATGATAATTGACGATGCTGAGTAACGATAATTGCGCGCGATCTTATACGTAGCTATAATAATAACAATTATCCATGCGCTTCGTAAAAGCATCATGGAAGTCTCATGATCTCTAACAACATATAAATGTAGTTTCGTTCTAATTTTCATTTAAGAATATTCTTCACGATTCCGAGTCACGTCTCAGCGTCACGTAATGCGCTTTCTCCAGCCACTGATACCTGCAACAGAAAAATTTCAGCAGATTTGTGAGATGTTTATAGGCTTAGCGTAAACTTAGCGTAATCATACGAAAACATCGAGTAAAAATGGATTAAAGCCCAAAGAAACGTCACAAATGTTAACTAAATATCGCAAGCATAAAATATCGCAAGCGAAAAAAGCTTTCCAAGGACAGGGATATATGTATAACGATACCTAAAGGTTCTAAAGGAGGGGATCTGTGGAAGGATCTAAAAATATCTTCAGAGAAATAATTTCACTGCGGAAAATTTAGATCGCGCGTTTGATTTATTGCGTGACTACGCTCGAACCGACCTTCCTCACGTTAGCGTAAACGCAACTACCGGAAGAGCTCGCTGAGTAAACGCGCCTGATCTGCATCGCAAGCGCGAGAACCGCAGTCGAGTTGTACGCCACGGTGGGTAGGTCGCATCCACATTTCCTCCCTCCCCTCCCTCTCTCTCTCTCTCTACGTGTGTGACCGCCACTGTGCGACGGCGGCGGTGGCGGTGGCGAGCATAAGAGGGTGGACGTTTAACATATGAGTGGCTACCAGTGTTATTAATGCGGCGGTAGCGTCGTGCTCGGTTTCTTCCTCGACGAGAGCCCACGTACTGGGCCTTAGATCCCAGACGGCGTACGGTCGGGACTAGGGGCCACCCGCGGGTCCTACGGACGCGCACACAGGAGGCGAGAGGAAGGGCCCCAGCCCCGGGCCCCGGCCCCTGCCCGCCAGGCAGGAGCGCGGGATGGGGTACGGTAACACGACACTCGGAAACCGCGGCACGACCGACGTCGTGCAACGGCCTCGAACCATCCCCAAAGGAGTTATGCCTTCCTGCCGGCATGCCGCCAGGATGCCTAATTAATATGTGCTTAGCCCCGGAATGCTGCTCGTGTCTTTGGGAGCTACGCACGTTCACGCTTTCCGGAGGCAGCAGAAGGAAGGGAGGATCGGAACGCGTATCTCGAACGTTGGTCTATATGCGATACGGTATCTTGAAAATCAGATTTTGTACCGGTAATACACGAGAAAGTATTTGATTGTATTAGACAACGCTATATTAAGTAACGAGAGGTATTAATAGAACTTTTTAATATCTTGAGAAAAATTGATTAAGAGATAACTCCTTTTTTCCGTATGGAGTAACATTTGAAACTTTGCATTACTAAAATAATTCAACGCGCGATATTTCAAAAATATATATCTCAATATTACTGGCTTTAAAACATTGTTCTGCTCAACGATTCATGCCCGAATCACGTGCAATTTACCAGCTAAGCGCACGTGGGAAAAATTCGACGTGGGTGTGCCCACCTGTTTCATGTGTCCAAGAGAGGAGAGAAGTAGCCGGTGGACCTGCCTCCCTCGTATCCGTCGCGATCGCTCGCGCGAGCGGGGCGTATAGGCAAATATCTCTCGCGCTCGGCCAGGACATTAGGAGCTCTCTGGCGTCCGGAGGATTATAAATCCTTAATACAGATCGGCACGCGATGCTCGGCTCGTTAGGGTGATGCATGGCCGACTCTGGTGTCCCGTGGTGTACGGTAGCCGGTACCAATACGCGCGTACACCACCGTACCGCCGCGTGCACGCACACACGCGCGGAACGTTCGGTTCCTACGGGAATAACTGACACCCACACGCATCGGTGGACGCCAGGTAATAATGAGAGATCGGAGATACGGCCCGATATTAATTGTGCGCATCGAATGTGGCTACGGCTGCTGCGGCTGGGCCGCTGTATCCGCACGCCGTAGAGGGAACAGGCCGCGCTACCGGCTTACACCGATCCTTCGGCGCGATATGTACGATATACGATACGGGAACGAGCGTGGTGGACCTGACCTCCCGGTCCTCTCGCTGCGGCGGCGGTCGCGAAGGAAACGCGCGAAAAAGTTTCCTCGAAAAACTGTTCACGTACGATTGTGATATGATGTTATCGTATCAGGTCGTATTATGGGACTGGTATCTAAAAATAAGAATACACCAAGATATATAAATATTTCTCTTCAGGAATTTCAAGATTACTTGAGATATATAAGAACTACTTTGTAGCGCAGTAACAAACCTCGATAAAGTCACAAAAAAGTTACTAATTGTAAGATATCGCGCGCCTATCTATCTATGTGACTGAGAAATCCATTTGTTGCATCAACTAAATCTTTGGTTGGATATGAGCAAATTCTTTAGTTAATATAACAAAAAATGTGGTTAACATAGCAAAAAAATCTTTTGTCTTCATTATGTGAACCAAATTTTTTATTAACTAAAGAATTTGTTTGCTCATATCCAACCAAAGATTTAGTTGATTCAACAAAATGGGTTTCTCAGTGTATGTCAGAAAATGACAAAGTAGAAATAAATGTTTGGAAAGAGAAATTATTGTATACTTTAATCTATAAAAGCATACCCTTTTAAAAAATGGTAGCAGCGCCAAGTTTTTTTGCATTAAATATTTTTTAAAATTTTTATTAAATTTAAAAATATTACCAGTTTTTTTCAAAGATTAAAATACACAACAGCTTCTTTTTAAACATTTATTCCTACATGGTGCCATTTTCTGATAGCATATTTTTTGTAGATAGACAGGCGTATATTTGGAGTATACTTGACGCCTTTTTTGTATCTATTTTTTGAAAAAGTTAGTTTTTATAGATATCATGCCTTTTTGAGTATGTTAGATACGATTGATGTATGTATATGTGCATGAACTCGATAAAGTTATTGGAAGTTATGTTTTGCTTCAACGCTTTTCATGCAAATCTTTCGTGCAATTTGTTGAATTTTACAAATTGTACTAATCAGTACTGTCAATCTATTGACTTAGAGAATTAAAATCTAAAAAAAAAAAAAAAAAAAAAAAAAAAAAATTTTTTTAATTATGAAGGGAATTAAAATTAAAAAAAAAAAAGTTTTTTTTTTTTAAATCGAAGCATTAAAATTTTCAAGCGTCTAAATGTTGTTAATTTAAGTATTTTTCAAATCTCGAAAAAATTGTTACTTGCTATATGCAAGGGTAAAAAAAAAGAGAAGTTAGGATATCAAAGTAGATCCTGGAAGACAAGGGGATGGCTACCAATCCGGGTCGTTTCGCCGGTGATTACTAGGAGTGGACAGATTGAGACGGTCCTAGGGCTCCTCCCTCGTCCTTCTGCCGGTGATCTCTATGCGGGCTTCCCCGGACGACCCACGCCCAGGACGTTCTATTCCTCATCCTTCCAACGAAGAGAGAATATTCCCTCCCTCATGCCGACTACGAGCCACTTTGAAGATACGATCTCGAAACAAATTACGAGTCCCGCTCTCGGGGCTCGCCCTATCTGGCTGAATTAAAATAATCGCGGGCCGTTAGCGGTCGGTCGTGTTTTTTAAATCGGTCTACACGGATCGGTTCCCCTACGGAGTTTGTCAAAGGCCGCGATGCAACGCGTCTACCGATGCGTTCGCCATTAAAGTTGCACGCACCCGCGACGGTGCGTATAATAATGAAGTCTCTCGAATTAATAACGATAACGGATTGGTACTCCGTAATTCTTTCCTTTCATACAAATCTTCTTAATGCCACGGTTAATCGTCGGTTATTCGTCCCGCAGAAAAGCTGGGGTAAACATAATAAACTTGGTAGTTTTAGATTTCAAAATGATATATACATAAAATTTAATAGGTTTAACACTTCCGATAAAATGTAACGACTTTTCTTTATAATTGAAAGCGAGTCGAGTACATTGACATTTCAAAACGAGATCGTAGATGCTGCAATGCGAGAAAACCAAGGTAAATACATGTACAATACATACGTATATATCGTTATATAGCGGTGAGGTGCATGTACCACTCGGCCGCAGCTCGTCTCAATCCGGATTACGGTAACACCTGACCATCCGCAATTTTATCATCCTCCGTTCCAGAAAGATTCCAATTTTCTTCTCTCGCCGCGTAGCTTTCTTTCTACCTCTCCCGGCACCGCGCTTTCCCATCCCGTCTCCTCTCCGTTCCCCCTTTTCCTCCTTCTCCTTCTCCTCCTCTCCGTGCGCTTTTTTCCACCGTCCATGGACTCAATCTGTGTCTCATCGCGGATTATTGGGATTTCGCGAGGATGAGGAAGAAGAGGAGAGACCGAGGCTCGCTCGACTGTCTGAGCTTCGCCGGGCTCGGCTCGAAACTGGAAGCTGTAAGACTGCCGACACACAAGGACGAGTCTTTAATTCTTTCCGTCGTCAGCCGATCTCATCGCTTCGATTTTCTCCTCTAGATAGGTGAATTCGACCGATTACTCACGATGTGGGACAAGTAAATGCGAGTACATTGAACTTCCGCTGAGAATCGATAATAACGAAGTAATGCGACAACAGATAATGATGCGGCATGAAAAATCTGTCCGTGGCCTCGTTATATTGATGACGGAGAAGATAATTGGACGATGATAAAATCTCTTCCCGATTGTAATATCTCCAGTCAGGATATTACAACCGGATACAAATTGGAGCTAAATATAGTATTCGGCAAACACGGATACATCAACTTTGTTACAAGGAGTGCTAAGAATTGAAACAAAAAGGGAAAAATATTATTGATAATTTAACAATTAAATGAATCACGAGAAGTAGAGCAGCTGCAATTCTCTCTTTCGTCATTGAATACAGCAGAATTCTTGCGATCATATTAGAAAAACGTCGGCGCTGACACGTCGAGTTCGCTGTCATTCGCGCAGGAGCGACAGGGTCACGATCGTCACGCAAATCCTCTTACGCGGGGAAACAAAACGCGACGAAGGCGGTAGGAAATAAACCACCGCCGACGGAACGCAAAAATAATGATCCTCGTGAGCGTGAGATAATTGGCGCAAGGAGCTTGCGCGTCCCGCGGAGACAGGGACAGAGGGAAGAGATGCCCTGCGAGATCAAAGGACCTTCACCTTCATCCAGCTCCCAGCGTTCGTCCCGATATCCTGGGAAGCTGATGGAAGAGAAGGGGGGGGGAGGAAGCTCCTTTTTA